CGGCCATTGTGTCCTTTGATTGCAACGCCTGGACATCACTAAGCTGTAAATATCCCAGAAAAGTTTAAAGAAGATCTCATAATAAAAAAGAATGCAACGAGATAACGTCTTCCTGCAATAAGCACATTGGATAAAATGAGAAAGACAATAAAACTTTACCTGCAGATGCCTGCTTGAACTTTTCACTCTTCTTCTTTCTCCACTTCCAAGGCTTGAGGAGTCTTCCGAGAGTCGCAAACTTGCTCCGGTGACGGATGGGTGGAGTGTGTGTGCCAGAGACCAGGGACTCGGAGCGCATGGCAGACAGCCTCTCTACTTCATCAGCTGTTAATAAATAATTAAACAGGTAAATAAATAAATAAAAGGCTAATATTCTGGTTAAGAGTTGTGCACACAGAACCACAAATTGAAATAAACAGACAGACAGTTTCACTATTTTAAAAAATTCCAGCAGCGAGAAATGTGTGCCAAGTGGCCTCCTGAAATCTGTAGTAACATAATGAGACTGAACCAAGAGCATAAACAAACCTGCATGTCAGATATCATTATGCAGAACGCGCTCCGGGTATAAACAGTTTGAGGCTGCGCCCCATTCCGAGCAATTGATGATCCTCCCCCCGAAAAAAAGAAAAAGCAAACCAAATAGACTGACAAGTACCCCATTATAGAGTGAATTTTTCAGCTCTTCATGAAATATTCACAAAGCCCAGTCTTCTGATTTTAAAATGCTTTCTGACATCAAAAGCAAAGAATGTACAGCATTTTGTCACAACGCAAACTATTACACAGAGAAAGTGATGCAACTGCAAAGAGCTAAAAACCACTACACTAATAAGACTTTAAAGAAATCTGGCAAGGCACAAAATGCTAAAAATATGAGAGGTACATGATTTCATACAGCGCCCTGTAAAAGTAATCTTCACATTTTGTCACATTACAACCTGATGATCCATGGTTTTTACATTTTTCTTGCACATAGATATCTGGGAACTTGGATGTGCATTTGCAATTAATAGTTCCAAGTCAACGCTTTGCAGAACTACCTTTTGCTGCAGTACCTGCTGCAAGTCTTTTGAAGCAAGTCTCTACCAGCTTCGCACATCTAGAGACTGATATGTTTGCCCACTCTTCTTTGCGGATGAGATCAAGCTCTGTCTGACAGAGTGGCAAGCATCTCAACAGCAATTTTCAACTCTTGCCACAGTTTCTCAGTTGTATTTAGGTCTGGACTTTGAATGAGTCATTATAGGAAGAATTTGTTTGTTTGTTTCAACTATTTTATTTCAACTCTGGTTTAGGCTCGTTGTCCTGCTAGAAGGTGAACTTTCACCCCGGTCTCAAGTCTTTTGCAGCCCCCACATTTAACTTCATCTTCTTCATCAGCTCTGACCAGCGTCCCCGTCCCTGCTGGACAAAAGCATCCCCACAGCATGATGCTGCCACCACTATGTTTCCCTGTGGGGATGGTGTGTATAGGCTGGAGGGTAGCATAACTTTTCCACCACACATAGAACTTTGCATGCCACAAGGTTTAGTTCAGGTCTCGTCTGAACAGAATAGGCTCTTCCAATTTTACCATGTTACCTATATCAGAGTAAAGGGTATGGGATACTAATGCATGCCACACTTCTACTTACTTTCTGTGTAAGAAAAACACTAATTTGTCTTGGCCTATCTCATGAAATCCCTCAAAACACATGTAGTTGTAATTTGACATTTTCTTTTGCACGGTATCTCAAATCAACTCAAACTCAACCAAATAAAGCACTTTCATATTTAAGTATAATCTCCCTGGTGCACGGTTCTGTTGTTGTTGTTTTTTTTTTAACAAAATTATTTGTAAACTAAAAGTGTGGAAAATTTTAAAAGTAATATGTGCAAAGCAAATAACATTTAAGGCATACTTTTTTTTTTAAATTCCTTGATTTTTGGGAACCTAAAAACTGATAGATCAGAATATTTGAACAGCTCGACTGAATCTTTCAAAAATAGAACACTTAGAAATTAAAATATTTAATCATTTTTTTGTATTTCTTATTGTACAGTATTACCTTTAACTTAAAGTCATACACTCTTATTCATTCATTTTTATTCTGTAAGAGAATTTGGTTGCTAAATAGGTTGATTAACTAACTCCGCTTTAGTTTGATGTATGATTTTTAGATGCATTCAAAACACAATACTAATGTCCTAAAAAGCTAGGAACACAATGGTTAAAAGTCAAGGCTCTGTATATAAAAGATGAATTCTAGCAGGATAAGATTTAATCTTATGACATCCTTTCAGTTAATCCCAACATAAAATAATAAACTCCATTCACCATATTTGCCAACACAGACATAATCACTTTACAAGGCAGCCTTTTCCCTGAAGAAAAGGGGCGGCTGGATAAATAATGTGACAGTATTGCACATTTGTCCAACATATTGGTACTTGAATCCAATCTTGCCTGTCTGCCGGTCTATAAATAACTTCACAATCAGTGCTGATTTTTAAATTTCCATCATTCGAAGGCTAAAGGCAATACAAAGACAGAAAACCTCTCGAAGCAAAGTAACTTCAAACATTATTGACGTTGTCCCATACTTTTAGGAACCTTACTAAAGACTGAAAGATGGCTTTGCATATCAAACACCTTCAAATGCTTCATCACTTCAATATGTATAACACCTTGAGTGCAAGAGTAGTTTTGAAATTGGTTCAAAGAGATTAAGATTAACATTCTGTTAATTCTCCACCCAAGAGCTCCTCAAATAAACAAACTGGGACATTTTCAAGCAGGGAACACGTGTGCACACATTAAGCAGTTACTGTGATGGTGCAATGTTCTACAATCTGTTCAAAATCCTGGCAGATGAGATAGAGACTCACTATGCAAAATGAAAGTAAATAAAGAAAAAAACATGATTTACTTCTTAGTAAGAGTGGTTAAAGTGTTGAGGTGCGTTAATCGCTGACCCCAGCATTTTCTCCCACTTTATCTTCATCATGCTGCAACCTACATTCTTCCCCTCTTGTAGTCCTACAATGGGTCTACTTTTAATTATAAACTCTTGTTTGCCTACCAAGATGGCTGAGTGGTGATGTATTGACTCTGAATTAGGAAAGGTTGGAAGCAAACAGGATGTAAAAGCTGCATGCCACACTAATTGCATTTATGGGGTAAAACAGGAATAAAAAAAAAAAACATAGGAAAATATTTCAAATTAGGGTTAGTTCTTCTGGACGTTTTTACTTTTGGTGTAAATTAAGGAACGCAGCTATGAAGTTATCATCTAGTTACAGACAGTTTGCAAATAATTTTAATACCAAGAGCAGAAATCGAGCCACTCTAAATGATGCCACAAATCATTTGATAGCCCTGCACAGTGACTGATTTGCCATCAAAAGCCCCTATAGAGCCTTGAGGCACAGCCTCCCTGCACGGCGTGCTAAGGGCGAAGCTGCACAAACCTACTCACCGTCCTTCGTGTTGTTTCCACGGCTGCAGTTGCTGCAAATGTGCTTGATTTCCCTCCCGATCTGACAGTGGATGGTGAACGGCATGTTGTTATTGTGGTGCTGCTGCTGCTGCTGCTGCGGATTCTGGCCGTGGTCCTTCTTGTTACTCAAAGACATTATTTTGACCAGATTGAACGCCTTTTTCTTGGGCTTCTCCACCGCCACGGGCGTGTTTCCTCGGCACCCCGTGGAAAGCCAGGCGCCGTGCATGATGGTGGGCGCGGGATCCACCGCTGGATAATGGGCCGTCTTGAACATATGGACGCGAAGAAAAAACGATCGGAGCGATGTTCCTACGACGCGGGGTTTCAATTTAAAGGGACATCTTTTGAGTCCTACCTGACCTACTCCGTGGATCCCGAATCGATCCCTCTTCTGTACCAAACCCTTTTTTTTTTTTTTTTTACCTGAGGTCCGTTTTGCGCTATGGGGTAGATTCGGTTGCGCAAAGTCACAGCTGCTGCCAGATCCAAGGGAGCTAATAATAAAAGAAAGGCAGATTAGTGAATGGCAGTGACTGTCTCTCCCTCCTTGTGCCGTGGACTGCAGTCGGTTGTGCCTAATCTACGATTAAAGGAGCTGAGCATTGGCTGCAGCTGATTGGCTGCGCAGTGGGCTCCTGTGTGAACGGAGTAAAAGTTGCTTGTTCTCCATCTACTGTACAGGACGCCAAGCTGCACTATTCTACATAATGTGAATATTTTTATTCTATTAAATTGCATAAAGATTATTGCCTGCCAAAAAAAACCCCCCCAAAAAAACAAAAAAAAAACCAGCAGTAAACCAAGAAGTTCAGCAACCAGGTAAAAATATTCTTAGTATAAGAGACAGACTTCTGACACTCACTGATTTACCAATATAAACTGAAACAAATGCAGAAAAGCAACATTGCAATGAATAATTATTTTAAGGGGAAGAATGACCTAAAATCTCTGCGTACATTTATGTTTTATATGCACTGTAAAACCTTATTTTTCTTACTTTGTAGGCGGTTATAAATTAGTTTGTTGCATTTGCCCTTCATAATAAATAAATAAATTGTCCAAAGTATTGTGACAGTTCAAAGGTCAGTTGACCCTTTCCCACCCCAGTTTTGTAACCACACATTTGCCTTAATCTCCTTCCCTTTGCATCTATGTACTCAACCGTTTTGCATCATATTGTAGTTCTTGGTAGTGGGGCTGCACAGCATTAGGAAAATATCACATGGCAATGTATTGTTAAATATTGTTATGACAGCATCGATTATAATTAATCCACATGTTTTTCTCTTCACTCTTTCTTGTCTATCATCATAATGTCTCCACCATTCTCCTTGAGCTTTTTGATTTTGGTTAGTAATATCTTAATCACTTGTGCACATAAAGGACCCTTTAAGTACACCCAAGTAGCCAAATATACTATTGGAAAGCAGACTTTGAAAACAGTCATGTTTTTAGGCTGTGGGAGGAAGCCAGAGTATCGTAAGGGGAGAACATGGAAGCTTCATGGCTCCATGCAGACCCCACAGTGGGATTTGAACCCAGGACTTTCTTGCTGCAAGGCTGCCGTGCTACCAATTGCACAACCATAGAGCCTTCAAATTGACTAATACGTTGCAAAATTGTGTGATAACATAGTCATATGACGTATTTTTCATATTTATTGTCTTTTTTTTACTTCTTATAATCCTAAAAATGTAATATGCTACTTACGTTTGTTACTCCTTTTAAATGAAAGCAACAGGAAATTGACCCCACTAAGTCTGAAGCAAAAGTATTTGCATTATTTTTGCCAGGAGTTACTGACTTGCACTTCTTGTCATGCATTATACCATCTCTTCATGCAGTGTAGCTAGTGTTTTTTTTTTTTTCTTTTTTATCAGATAAATCGTCAAAAAAAACATATCTGTTAGCTAAAAAAGAGTATTGAAAGCATGCAGCAGCGTCCTTATGTCACCACTGTGTCAGCCAGCTGTAACCACTGCTCCAGCACATCAGTCAGATTTAATCAGCTGTTCTCAGCTGATGTCCTTTGTGAAGGAGAAACCTGCTTTATACTAAACTGATCTTTTAATTTGACCAACATGTTTCTTTTGACCCGAAACAGGGTTACGGTAAGGTTACGCCAGGTTGCGTTTTGGAGTGGACCCCACCAGAGTCTCGAAGTGAATCTGATACAGAGCTAAAGATTAGGGTAATGGCAAAAAAAGCGTTCCAGCCTCAACGTCTTCGAGTTCATCACCAAATGAATACGGTTAAAATACCAGTGGAAACATGCAAAAAACTTATATAGAGAGGTTTGATTGGTGTAATGCTACTATAGATTTTTACATTGATTATAGAGAAGGGTGTAAATACATTTTGACATCCCATTTCTAATAAAATGTACAAAACAAAACAAAAACATTATTTTATTCTCCAAAATTGATGTTTCTTTTCACAATGCTTTATTTTTTAGCTTTTCCTATCAGAAACAAACTTCTTGATTGAATGAAAATAATGTTAAATCTGAATCTGACTGGTGTATGAATAATTTTTAGCTTAACTGTATTTTTAGGGTCGGGTAGGTGCTTAAAGCACCTACCTAAGAACCCTCTAGGAACAAAACGGTATTTTCTGTAACATTTAAATTAATCTCTGTTGTTCCTGAAGGCTTTGAGACAGCAAGAGAGAACAAAACCTAAAGCATAGCTTTAAAATCTCTAAGGTTCAGGCAGCTGGCGTCTCTAGTGGGCAGTGTGCAAATCTATGTCATGGTGAGGTCTTCAAGAAAAAGTTGAACTTGTAGCAGAGTAAGGCATAGCATGTATGTCCTTTCAAGTGCTACTTTACAAATACACATAGAAAGCATCCATCCATCCATCCATCCATCCATCCATCCATCCATCCATCCATCCATCCATCCATCCATCCATCCATCCATCCATCCATCCATCCATCCATCCATCCATCCATCCATCCATCCATCCATCAAGCTTGAACTTAAGGCTTAGCAGGGAACAGGTGAAAGGTAGGTACACCATTGATAGGTAGCCAGACTATCACAGAGCCACAAACAATAATTCATACCCTCATACCTAAGGGAAATGTATATCCTCCATTTAACCAGTTTGTTTTTGGACTTTGGGAGATTCAAAGCTAAAGACATACCTAGAGCTCCTCTGATTAAAAGGGTGATCAGAAAGTCTTTTATCCCTAAAGCTGTTGGTATTGTTAATTCCCTGAAGGGAACTGGTAACGCATATTGCTTGTCCTCCAAGATGGGTCATGGCTTTGTTTTGTGGTGTAATGCCAAGCACCTTATTCTAAAAAGCCTCATTAAATCATTGGAAGTTTACCATACCACTGGACTCTCTGATTCCACGAGGCTGCCACGGTTCATAACAGCCAAATACTTTAAATGTTGCAATAAACTTTTACAGGAAGCTGACTCAAAGACTATAAGAAGTTGATCCTGCCTGGCGTACATAACAATTTACTAACTTACAGGGTTGTTTTCTATGTATTCTTTGGAACACTTTTCTTTGTTAGTATTTCCACCTTTACCAAAAGACTAGATTTAAAAAACCTCTGTAGACCCTTATCAAAATATATTTAAATTTACTTGAAGGAAGGTTTTCTCATTTTTGAGGATTCTGGATTTAACTGGTTTCTACGGCTGTGGTGCAGATTCAGGGTGAAACAATCTTACAACTTCCGACAGACCAGCCTGTTGCTACAAATCTGCTGTACTCATTCGCTATTTTAACTGTCTGTCTCTTCCCATCTGTCATTTGCTCGCTGCGTTATTGTCCGTTTAACTAAATGTAAGAAGGTTCCAAATTTCTATGACAAGGTCTAGATAAAATTAAATAAGACTGAACATAGATTTCTTTTCTGTAAATGACTATTTTCCTAGCCTTTTGATCATGATTATGTCTCCACTGTCTCATCTTCAGTTTGACAGACAGTAGACTAATATTACATGAAGCTACAGATGGAAAAGCTTGTAAAATCTAGATGTTTTTATTCAGATGAGAAGCTAAACAGAGCAAGTTGAGGGGAAATTACAAATAACTGGGAGATAGAAAGGTAGCTGGTTTTTTATGTTCACAACAACATCATTCTCTCTTGACATTATTAGTCACCATGAATATTATTCAGCACCACTACTGACACCAAAAGAAAAATAAAAACTACTGTCACTAACTGTTAGGGACTGTGCTAAGCTGTGTGCGACTACACTTCCCCAAAGCTATATACAGAAGACTGTTGATTTTCCATTAATGTTATTATTCACTCATGTCTTTCTGCTTTAGTCTGACCAAACATGAATCCGGATTTTAAAATTTTCATATAGCAACTTTTCCACTTTTGTATTATGTTTTCTTTTGTGTATAGGTCAATTGTAAGTTTATATAATCCATTAAAAGATTGTTAAAGTGGTTGTCTTAAATACCTAGTGTACTGTATATCTGTGTATTCTTAATTTTGAGGATAAACTGAAAAAAAACATTGTTTCAATATTGACAAAATAGACTAGATAATAATTAGCTCAGTAACATTCTGTGCTACAGTTACACTGCTACAAATAGAGTCAAAAAATGATGCACTGAGGCCTCCTCACTGCAGGGCTGCTCTGCATCATCGATGCTCTGACTGTTACAATGCCGCCCTCTAGTGGCTATGATTGATAACTTTGTAGCAAAAGCAACTGCTAACCCTTGTAAATCAGCTTACAACAATTAAGGTAGATTTTAAAATGTCAAAAATCGTAATTTGAAGACAGACCTTTTGTGCTTTCTAGATAATAAACAAGCATTATCAGTTGGAAAACTTTTAATCAGTTTTGTCAGTTTAAAGTGTATGACACCAGCCCCTCTGTTTCTGGCTAAAGTAAACCACCATGCCTACAATGCCCTAAAGAAGTTTGGTTTTAACAGACCCCTGTAAATGTTTATCACTAAGCTGAGCCCTGAGTATCGTTCTTTACTCACAGAAATTCTTGTTCAGTGGAATTCAACAAATTAAGAAGAAAAGATAAGAAAGGAAAAATAAAATCTGGGAAAATAAAATTTGGGAAAATAAAATTGAAAATATTTTAGGTTTTAAAGTATATCAAAATGAAAAATCGGGAAACAAAATTATACTCAGGAAGAAAAAACTTTAAAATTAGCCTCAACATTTCTGACAATAAATGACAGACAATCTAATAGACCAGATTTCTTACAGTAAATCAAACTTCACATTTCTTACAGATTATTCTCTTGTTAATATGTTTACAAATGTGAACATAAAACCAAATGACATGCAGTTCATTATATACAATCACAGTTTTGCATGTCACTGCTAATTCAAATAAATAGGAATATCTGAAAATATCCTCAAGGTTTTTTCTTATAAAACTAGAATTGATATCATGTAGCTAAGATACTGCAGCCATATCTAAATAAATCATTTCTAAAAAAACTTGACACAAAGAGGATATTTTTTAACTCTGTATGAGCAATTTGAAGTTTTTGTGATCTTTTTACATTTTGTCCTCCAGAGACTAAAAATCAAATAGAAAATCATCAACCACAAACTTCCTTGTGCTTGTTTCTACACTATCATATTTTTTCCTGGTGGCCTCATGGTAAGTAGTTGGTCATACAAGCTTTAAAGAGTCTTTTTCCAACCTAAAATGAGTAAGTAAATGAAACAATAATTATTAAAGGATTATATTTACTTATAAATCAATCGAGAGGCATGCCAAAGCATGTATTGTTAATGTATTCAATCCAAAGTATAATAGCTGTATCCCTAGCTGTCTTATGAAAGCTTGAAACAGGACCTTTAAACCCAGACACTATTGGTTGTAGCTGCTACTGTAGCAATAGGCAAGCTATATTTATGTATCAAAATCTTATTATGCCATTTTTGAGGAGCCATTTACTTTTGCATGACTGATATTAGTGTGAAGCGCTTTGGAGTCCTTGGACTTGATAAAGTGCTATACAAGTGCAGGACATTTACCATTCAAAAATCTGATTGGGCTTCTTTTTGTTTCTGTGGGTTTCTCAGTCTTGTCAGTCCATTGCCCTCTGACTCTCAGTCTGCATAAGCTAGCTCACAGAAGTTGACCAATCATGTTGGCATCAGGCACTGATCACAAAAGCAGTTGTTCATGACGCATTACACAGTGAAGGCCAAAACAAAATCTACTATTTTTTCAAACCCTACACCTGAGCTCAGTTTAATGTCACGATAAATAACCTTCAAATGTCTTGGTCAGAGTGCGAAATGCCAACAAAAAGGTCAGATTCCTGAAAGTCCATATCACTACATTACATAAAAAAGGGAAATGATTGGTCATGGTATTAAAAAGCAGGCTTCTTGCCTGATGAAAACTAAATGGGGGCAAGATTAAACTGCAACCTAAACTAAAGCTTTGCACTTAGAATAAGCAAACAAACAATGTAGTTGGGTTTTACTCACACAACCACAAAATCTAGCTTTTCTCTGAAATGTTAAGGTTTTTTGTTGGTGGAAAGGGTGTTTACCTGCGCAAAGAATTGACACAGTCGGTATTAAACAACAGACACAAGGCCCAAGGTGGTACTTCAAGCTTGACTGAT